TCCCTAACTCCAGGGAAAAATCCCCACCTGGGGAAAGAACCTTTCTTGGGGAGGTGGCCTTGGTTAGAACACAGCGCTAAGAAGGGGAGCAAACATATTAAGAACAGTATGCCAGGTCCCTTGAAACATATGCTGTGCAGGTGTTTCTTCCCTGCAGCGACTGTGTCAAGCAACAAGGATGGACTGGCCTCTGGCACACAGTGAGAGGGGACACAGTGAGAGGGGACACAGTGAGAGGACACATTGAGGGGACACAGTGAGAGGACACAGTGAGGGGTGACACAAAGGGGGCAGCTCTGCCTGTAGGGACAGGGAGGGTTTTAAAATGCAAACAGCATTTACAGTTCGCCTGAAAAGATGAATTTTCAGTTGGAAAAGAGGAGGGGAGGAGAGGACTTAATGGTAATTTTTTAAAAAGGTGTGGGTGGGGCGCGGGGAGAGGAAAGCAGTCTAGGAGGAAGAAACTACATGTGAAAAGTATTGGAAACAAGAAAGAGTCAAGAATTCAGAACACAGCGGGTGCCCAGGGCAGGGTGCTGGCACCTGTCTTGGGGAAGGCAACTGAGAGAGCTGAGTGGCGGGAGGGCAGGGCCACTGTGCAGGGCCTTGGCTTGGGCGCCTGGCGGCAGGAAGCAGCCTTCCTGGGGCTCCAGGGCTCCATGGGAGCGGGTGATGGGGAGCGGCATGCTGGACTTGGTGTTTAGGAAGGCCTGCCTCACAGCAGGTGTGGGGTGGGTGGGAAGGCGAGGAGCAGGTGGGGGACAGGCGGAGAGAGCCTGGTTTTGGTCGCCGTGGGGATAATGCAGTTAGAGGCCTGAGATGCTTCTGAGGAAACGGCTTCCTGACCAGGTGACTGGTGAGGAGAGATCTGTGAGAGGGGCGGGCGGGAAGGGGTGATGCCCCAAGTCCAGGTGGCAGTGTCCACGCCTCCCTGCTCCAAGAGGAGAGCAGTGCTTGCAGGGCATGTCAGGGCCTTGGGAAACCAATCCCATTTCCAGTCTGAATCCTGGGCGGCCAAGCCCCCAGCCCTACACAGAGGCTTTCCTTCCAGGGAGACAGCTCTTTGTGCCCCATCAGCGTGGGGTCCTGAGCTGGAGCGCCCAGGGGGCAGAGGGAGCAGGGCCCCGGCCCGGAGTGCTCCCGTCCCGTCCCGGCAGCCTTGGGTCCCTGATGTGGGGCCACGGCCCTTCACCCAGACCCATTTCCTTCACGGGGACACCCACTGTCCAG